TAAATTATAGCGTGGCTCCCGCGTCATACAATTACCTACAACTTACTTAAGCTATTCAGTAAAAGGATTTTCCCATTTTTTTTTTTTCTTATGCAATGGCAATCTAATGATTTTTTATTTTGATTATACCTACGTTAACAAAATGTTAAAAAAGATTTCTCGTTTGGCACTTATTTATTGAGGCCTTGGAATAACGTAGTAAATACTAATTTAGACTTTAAATTAAATTCTTAAGACTCAAAATATTATGAGGATTTCTTTATGTATCGAATAGTATTCGGAATTGTATTATTGACAAATAAGTAGTCTTCCAAATCAGGTAGTATTATTTTTAATAAAGCACATATTATTCTTATGATTCAGCATGGGGAGTACGTTTATCATGCTCTTCCTTTTAAGAACATCCTAATGGACTATTCTAACAAATAATGGATTTGACAACGGATTCTGATTAACAATAATCCCTATCTACATTCAAATCGCCATCAAATATGTAGCTACTGGCTTCTAGAAAAGCACCCCAAGGTGTTCGTGGTGGTTATTCTACTAATCTAAACTATTACCTATCTCTGTGTCAAATTTTATTTAAATCCAGTTAGTAGGTTTTCGTAAATAAACTATCAAGTACTAAACACCCATGCTTATCAACCGTCGCGTTTGTAATACACCTGTTTGAGGCACTTAATCTTACTAAGCTCATAGCTTGGCATTTAATATTAAAATTAACACGTTCTATTGCATACCTACTAGCAAGCAATTGGAAGAATCGCGTAATGTAAATTATGACGTCATTTCAGTTAAGTATTCAGTTTTGTTAAGTGCATTCTTAAGGCGCAATGAGGCACCGCGACCTCGGCCCAGAGCAGGAGAAGGAACAGGGGGGTTTTTAGTCAGTAAAAGTCTGAGACCCACTCCCGCCCGGCCCTCGGCTCGGTCATTTGATGATTTTACCCTCACAAAAAAAAGGAAGACTTTGTATTATCGAAAGAAAAAAGAACATGAGCCTTTTGAGTCGTTAACTCGTTATTAATATTCAATTTCTACTTCATTTCGGTACATTTTGTGTAGACATTAATCAATTGCCACTTATGGATTGTTTGATATAGTAATCTTCTCAGAATATATTGAAGTGTTTTCACAAATAAACAATTTATTCAAATGATTTATTTATTATTAATTAGTTACTTGGCACAAGAAGCCGTTGTGAAACGTGAACATATGGAAACAATTTTTTGCACACCGAAAAAAGTAACGGTAATACCTAAAAAAATATTAAAGATCAAACTCAAACTTGATGACGTTTATTTTAGAGAGACTATGATCTCAATAAAATATGATCTAATGCGATTTGCGATTGTTGCGAGGAGCCAAGTTTTAAATATGGCTTCCGTAAAAAAATAGACTTCGCTCCTCTATGGACATATTTATGACAGTGACGTTTATGTTTTCGTTCACAAATTAACATATAGCTGTTGCGATTTCAAATTAGGTTTCTTAGTATTTTATGTTTTGTATAATATGTAAATGATGTAACCATTGATTAGTAGAATTAATTCTAAGAAAATATTACATGTACGTTCTGGAAAAGTTGTACTGTTTGTCAGGGAAAACACACTTGTTGGCCTTTTTAGATTTATTATCATTAAGTATATGGAATCGATTGTATGTTATTCTTATTTTTGTTAGTAGGTATGCCTAAGTGAAGTACAGCTCATATGGCTGTTTATGAATACGTTACGTTTTTACACATTGTAATATGTTCTAAAGCATTTAATTAACAAAACAAAAAGAATATATGTACCTACATCATGTATTTTGTTACTGTAGAGTGTAGACTGTTTTAACCTTAATGACGTATTTCTTTTATTTTGTTTAATTTGTCATGCATGATGCAAATTATTGTCATTATAAAATGCTCTTTATTCTCAAATTACACATTTTTTCTCATCCCACAGCTAATTTAATTTTATGAATATGAATTAATTTCAACATCTCTCATAGGTAATGATGTAATCCAGCCAGCACTGCCAAACTATGAATGCCTTAAACAAAAACATAGACAATGTTGTGAGAAAGAAGGATTGTTTAGAAAAAAAACCCATCAACGAACAATTTTAGTTATTTGGCAGACGTGTAATCAAATTGAAGGATATGAGTCATAATTATATGACGATGCCGCGGAAGCCTGAGGAATATTAAATAAGTACAGCTACAAAAACATTGAACCCACCTATCATATGTCATTACATACAATTTTTGCTTTATTTATGACAATTTTGTACAGTTTTTTGATTAGTGGATGTTTTAGATTAACTGGGCGCAAATTGTTGGGTCCGATAGCCCGTAGAAGGCTTTGGGATTACCTAAACTCGGTACGACGTGATTTTAATTATGTATTATTTAATGTACACAAGATGATTGTTTTAATTAGTAAAACTAGATAAAACACGTTTTTTTGTATGTAGGTACAAGAGAGTTTACATGCAATAGATTTATTGTGACGTCATATCACGGAATTCTGATAAGTTTTATTCATTCGGAAATAAAAAATACTTCTTGAATGAACGTAGTGAGACTTGCAATAAGATATTTATTAAACCGTAACTGTGTTTTAATGAATATACTGTACACAAACGAAATATGAATAAGATATAGCACTGTTTTGTTAAATTTATTGAATTTTTATGACAAATTTATTTTTATTTATCGAAAATCGTCTACTACTAAACCTAAACAAAGGTTTTATCCCCTTTTATCAGGTTTTTTTCATTATCCCTTACTTTAGATAGGGTGGCGATTTTGAAAATCTGTGAAAGAACTGCTAAACAGTGTTCGCGAATAAATATGTTAATAATAAAAAAAGGTGGTATAAAGATAACATATTATTTTATAAGCTTCCGCCCGCGACTTCGCCCGCGTGGCATGTTGTTAAAAAAGCCTATGTCCTATTCCGGAGTGTATACTATGCCTGTGCCAAATTTCATCCAGATCCGTCCAGACGTTTTGACGTGATTGAGTACCTAACAAACATTCAAACATCGTAATTTTCGCATTTATGATATTAGTAATAAAGTAATATAGTAGTAAGATAAGATAGGCATTGTTTGAACATAAGTTTATACAGGTATTCGTTAGTTTATCAATGTAGCCAATTGCATTCAGGATATGTAAATGTGCCATTGCAACCGCCCTAATAGGACCGTGGTCATTGAACGTGGCTCCCCCTTGCGACTGGATGGATGACTCTTGATTTATTGGACCACTTAGTTCATTTATAATACCATATTTGAAATAAAATTGCTTTCTAACGGTACTCATCTCAGCAATCGTTTTTTAGACAGACGCTAACACGAAGTTAGTTTTCTTTGAGAACGGATTGTTGCTTTGGCGATACTATTTAGATAATTAAATTCTGTCACATTTCTTACATTGATCAATTATGTTTCAAACATTTATATATGTCGTGCTTTTGTTGCTTATAGAGCACCTAATACATCGTTGTCACTTGTAATTTGCAAAGTAGGTTTGCCGGCGTAATGTCCACTGACACCCCGGGAGAAAATATTATGGCGCCCACTTGAGGGAAGCGATATCAAGTGTTAATTTTTTGCTGATCGTATTGATATCGTTAGAGTCACTCCTCGACAAAAAACCCTCAAAAAAATCCATCTAAAAAGATCTCAATAAAAATATGCATATGCACAGAGTGTAGAGCACAGTTCTGAAGGTTTGCACCAGGAGCGGCAAGAAACTCCAACTTCAGAACTTGGGGGCCCCAGAATTTGTCGCTCTAGGTCATCGCCCCATCACGCCCCTAACGCCGGCACTGTAGGTATACTAACATTGCTCACTTCCCCCCCACATGTTCCTCGACGAACATTGATACATTTAGCCTTGTCTTTAAAAATTAACATTGAATGTATGCAACTCTTCCCTATTGTTGTATCTGCATTGCTATTGTGTACAAACTAATTTGGCAACTGAGCCTTATGAATGTATAAATAAAATAATGAGTATGAATAATTTTACTCTCAAAAAATTGATACAAGAGTTCATGTGATCAGTTAGGGGTTTGCAGGGGCAAGCGCAAATGTACCAAGGCCTTAGCCAAGCCACGGAGCAGTAGAAGGAACAGGGTGGTTTTTAGTCAGTAAGAGTCAGAGGTCCTCTCGCGCCACTCAGGGTGGGAAAAGTCACTTCATGACGTTCCTTACTCAAAAAAGAGATTAATGTAATAAAGCTGAAGTTAGGATAAACATTGGTACAAATAAAGCTATAGTTGCAGTTGTAATTCCAAGAGGAAGGAGAAGAAGTAATTAATTTACACATACCTAGCACGAATGAAATGAAAAATCATGAAGCATTTTTTTTAAGAAATAGGTCAAACAAGCAGACGGACAGCCAAAGAGGACGAATTATTCCTTTATGCGGACAGCCATATAGTAAACAATCGGCGCCGGCCATGGACACAGAGGCAAGGAGTTACTAACGCGTTGCCGACCTTTTGGGGATTCGTGTTACGGATATTTAAGGATTTTAGAGAGGATGGTTGAAAGGGAAGGTTTGGGCAAAACACAATGCTGTCGTTGTTGTTCACTCCGGTTTTCTATGAGGCCGAACCGACCCATTCGTGCCCAAGCTAGCCTCTCCTACACTTGGATATAAGTAAAAATCTTTCTTTTAAAGTTGCAGTCACTAAAAACTAAGGCGCTTCACCGCTTATTCTTTCCGTCCGAATACAACTTAGGTGTCTTCAAGGCTAGAGTGAATAGGCTCTTAATAAACTAGTGCGCCTTACCATCAACGATTGCATCACTGCTTAACATCAGGTGGGATCGCAGTCAAGCACTGGTTTATTGCAAGTAAAAAAAAAAAAAAAAAACCACAACGTTTTATTTTATATTCACGGTTCAGAATGGAGTCTAATGAAACCTACACCTACTCATTAGCTAGACAGAGTAATGATGTTGTACAAGAAGTAATGTGATATGAATACTCATTCAAAGGTCAAGTATAATCTGCCTAGCAATTAATGTTCCGTGCATTAATTTATTACGACCCAGATTGCTTGATTGATTCGACGATCCAATTGCCATGATTGGAACTTCCATAGCAGTTCTGCGCTCCTGGTAGCAAAGAGTTGCTGCTTGTTTATTTTGGCTTGATAGTTTTATTATAAACTTACACTAATTGACAATATATTTAGCTACAAATAATTGATAAAAGTATCTTTAGCAAGAAGAACTTAACTTACTTAGTTTTTTTTTTTCATAAAATCGAAAAGTATTTTTTTCTATGCGCAACTCTAGTTAATCTAGTTAATAACTAATAAGGTTTGTTTAATTTTACAACGCTGCAATTCCTTAAATGTGACGTTTTCTGCTAATACGAATTAATAAAAAAATATCCGTCGTATAAACAAACACATATGTACAATACCTACGGGTATATATAGAGAACAAGTCTTTAAAACTCGTCAATTTATTACGTGGCGGTATCATAATATTTTTTTATTTTATATTATTCTTACCTAATCCGGTTGTTATGAGCGACAAAAATAAGTATCTAATAATGGATATAGCAAAATAAAAATGCATAGAAACCTACTAGGTACCCACGTTCAAGAAAATTTAACATGTTTTTAGAATATTAAAGAAAAATACTCTGATTCCTATCAATGAAAAATACACGTCATCAAATAAAACATCGATGCATTTCCGTATTGGCTACTGAGCTATAATTTAAATTTATTTTTGAGTTAACTAGGTAATCTTAACTACTAAGGCTGCGTCGTATATGAATTGGTTTTTAGTTTTAGCCACAATATTGTTTTTTCATTATGAATTAAGAATAACTTAGTAAATATTACAATGTACTAAGTAAGAAAAATTGTTAGGGTTCCAATCAATTTTATTTGTAGATAAATATGGTGCCCACTTATTTTGATGAGGAACAGCATTGAGTGGCTACTCTTGCCCTGAGTGAGGGAAGGGAATTGTCAGGCTCTTACTGGCTAAAAACCACCTCGTTTCTTCCCCTGCACCCAGCTGGGCCGTAGCAGGTACATCACGGAGCATCTCCTACGACGTGAAGAGGACGAGTGAGAGAGGTTCCTGGAGCACTCTGCCTCCTTCTTTGCGAGCCATAATTTATTACGATAACCATTAATGCGCTAAACCCGTAACCCACAGGTAAACACGTTTTCCTTTTAAGCCATAATAATTCAAAATCTCTACAGCAAAAGGGAGAAAACGGATCATTTTTTGTATATGAGTTGTATATGATCTTATTAATTAAATAACTATTAAAAGTCTCACGAGTTCAATAAAACTTGTCACAATTCTATAGGATAGGTAAATACCATAATATCTAGTATTTATCATAGACAATAACTAATAGATAATTACATATTATGTATGCATCATTGTATAAAGTATATAATTTACCGGTGTTGAATTATGAATGAATTCAATTGACTTTTATTGATACTTACTTTGCATTACGAGTTAATATGACTTAGCAAATATTGCAGTTTCCTGAACTTTTAATTTAAATTAAAAAAAAAACAATGAGAAAATAGTATCCGTGACTATATTTCGAGAATATTTTTTTTTACTTCTCATATGACTTCTCCCGCCCTAGGTGAGGCGAGCGCGAGTTTTGGACTCTTACTGACTAAAATCCATCCAGTGCCTTCTCCTACTACGGGCTATGGGCCGCAACCTGCCGCAACACAACATTTTGAATGTTGGAAAGATTGGCATTGTCAAAGCCAACTATGCTTATTTGTTAAAAAAGATTTTGTTGAAATATTAATCAACACCTCTAAGTTGAAAGATCAAGAGGTCAAAGTTCCTGCGTCATAGTTTTTTATTATTGTCCAAAGTTCTGTAATATGTAATTCTACTTTGGAAAATTTACAAATATCGCATAAAAACCTGAAACCAGTTTTCGTATTTTAAACTCGTAAACTATATTGGTACCTATCTGTTCTATTATAGGAATGAGATTTAGTTTAATATAGCTTTTATATTTTAACATTTTGCAGGTGTTTCCAAATCACGTATTACCTGAACTGGATTATTAATAATACCGACACTATTAGTAGACTGATTTAGATGATTTCGTATGTGCCAGCAATCAGTCAATAAATTGTAGATACATCATAAATTTACGAGTATAGAAAATATTTAAAACAAACAAAAAAGACCCCTCTCCCTCACACAGTCTCTCACCTCTCTCTCGGCAGAGGGCACTCTGAGCGCGTACACTCCAAACTCCAATAGCCAGTTGGCTGCGCGACGCGACGGTCGCTGCGTCGAGTGTCACGCAATGCTACTTATGATTATGAGTCCCTAGCGTGGCTTGAAACTAGTCGAGTACATCGTCAAACAGTTACGAAGTCACTTAAAATGATAGTTAATGGAATAAAACTTACGAAAATGGTAACACAAGAAACACTAAATAAGTATATTTTGAAATGTGTGTGAATGTGAATATAATTTTGAAACCCAGGAAACATGGACTTATTAGCAAATGACATTTCACTTTGACAACATATCTCAAACAATGAACTATTTCAGTCGAAATCGAACAATACAATTTGCTTCAAAAGAACTGATTTATTCTTGTCGGCCATTATGAATACGGTTGTTGTGGAAACATGTGCATACTTATTTGTAACACACAAACAAGTAAACATAATTCACAATGCTCTCTCTTGAAAATCATGATCAAGATAGCTTTCGTAGAATCGGTAATGCCTAGAAATGTTATAAATTGAAGTTTAACATAAGTCATTGTTTTAGGATGTTTTGCTTTCATTGAAGATAGTTTCAATTAAAACACGTGTTCGAATGACCTAGGCTGATATGGTCAACATTTCTGCGTGTTCTTGGGGACATGCCCTCGCATGTTGTGGTTGTGCCCATAAAATTCTATAGATGAAATGGAAAATTGTTATCTTATTTATTTCTGTCATATTTGACAGCTGACAGCTGACAGCATTGACATGACAGCTAGTACTGGGAACCTATATACTCGACTAGAGACGTTTAGTCGATTTTCGTCCTCTGACTATGTATAGGTAGTTATTTATCGTATAGGCGCCGTTTTATACAGACACAAATAAAATTTCAACACGAGGAAAGTAGTAAAATTATGCCGTAAACTTTAAACACAATAGATACAATAGATTTATTTGTTGAAAACAACTGCAGACGGCATTTTCCCAAGTTGGATAGGTTTTATAACTTTATTGCTATTAGTATATACGTGCTATTAGTAGCTCGCTATAATATACCAAATTTTTTTTTGGAATTCGTCTCGCCCACTGCTGGACATAGGCTTTATATCGACCTAGCTGGAGGGCATTCATCATTGTTAAAGAAAAATCTGCTAAATAGAAACTTTCTATAATTACTAGGCTTGACTGGCTTGGGATTTGAAATTTTTCTTTAATGCCTACATTCTATAAAAATCTATTGAAAATGTTGAGGATTCTCGGGCCTGTCTCGCAGGGAATTTCTGGAAGTTTTCTGTTTTCTGAAAATCTGGAAAACTTTTTTTTATGTTTATTTGGAGCTGCTTGTTCCAAATTCAAATACAATAAATCGCCTAGGCAACAAGCAATCATGCTTGTCAATTAAACAATACATCTAATCGTGTTTTGTTTAACAAATCTAAACGCGCTAGTCATCCCAGCTAAGCATTACATTCACATCAAAGAACTGTTCTAGAGAATTCTTTGAGACAATTAGAGTGTAGTATTTGTACTTGGAACTACTTACATCTTCTCATCAGATTTTGTAAACAGTTAGCGCTTCTTATAGACACGATCCTAATAGGTAGTCCTGTAGCGGCTCTCTCTTACGAAATGAACAAGCTGGGAACAAAAAAGTTCAATTTGGTCGCAACCACATGGCTAGCTATAAACATACCTTTAAAATATATATGTAATAAAACATAAGTCTCAAGCAAGTCAACCAACAAACACATTATTTGCGGAAGTGTGAAAGCCATCAACCGTGAGATGTATTGGACAAGGCTCACTGAGTTGTAAGTTGTTCGCAATATTTTAATATTCTTACTGCGATGTAGGTAAATCGGTTTATTGTTCGTTGTAGATAACGTTCCTTTATGTAAGTGCTATTGTAAGCACGCGTTATTGCCATAGAAATGTTTGCCATCATATTTTATTATTTGGTTTTTTTTCTTTCCTTTCACGGGACCACAGGGTCCCGGACCTTTGGAAGGCATACGAGGAGCCGAAGCCAACTCGCAGAGGCCCGTTGAACAATGTTAATCTAAGTGTGATGGGACATCAGCCGGCAATTATACCTGTATGCACTATAAAAGTGCACCCAAGGACAATCCCCGGTTGATGTAGGACTATTGTAAAATGTGGTAACAATTGATAGGGTTATGGGTATGGGTTGCTATGCACTAGTGGATGAAAACTATGGAAATACTATGGCCCCTGCCCCTGACCAATATTGATACATACGGATAAACAGGCAGGGGGTGACTGGCAAACTCAATTAATGGGCCCCCGGAAACGGCCGCTAGCATGTAGCGACACGGGGGCAACATACGTTGAGCTGCTTGGGGAAGGAGAGGTATCCCACGGCTATCAGAGCAATCCCGGAAGTACGGTCAAGACCCCTACCAGCACCTTACTGAGATACATCCTTCCCCCGAGTCTCCTTCAACTCCTACTCTTGCGAATCTCCACTCAAGCCAGCCAATTAAGGCAAGAATGAGGTAGGAGGGCTTGTTCTTCATCAGTGTTCACTCCAGCTCGTCACGAGGACTAACCGGAGAGAGAAGAACAAGACACCTCCCGGGAGTCAGGTCCGTGGGGTCGCCACTGCCCTTATTTGGTTTATTTTTATAACTAAATATTGGCCATAATTTTAAATCGCTTCATTTTCTTTCGTTGTTTTTTTTTTATTTTATATGCAATGTGTTTATTCTCTTGAATGTCAAAATGTTGTTGCAATCGTGTTTTTGAAGCGTAGATGTCGCTCGCTTCGTTTTAGGAATTGAAAGAAAGAAGCAGTGGACATATTTATGGTTAATATTAGACACCGAATAAAATAATAACTTAATCATGTTTGCCTTAAATACTTATTCAATTTATCTGCTTAAGATGGTTTTTAAATGAATTATTTGTTATTTTTTACAGTAATTTTATCATACAAATATTCTTATACAAACACAGGTGTCTTAAAAGCTTTTTTGCCAAACCAATACTAAAGACAAGACAAGTGTCGGTGCCCCTTTTTTTGTTAATGGACCTCGGCTCTTCACAGTTCAAATCACATGTCATTACGAAGATGTATTAAACGTGATGTTTTTTTTTTCAACACTTATTCATTAGGTAAGGAAACCCTTGAGTTGTTATGTACATATATTATTATACGTATGTAGGTATATGTTGTATGTTGTAGTCGTATATCCTGAGTGTTACAATGAATGATTTTGGAAATTATCGTAATTAATAATTTTCAAATAACAAGTCTTACCTTGATAGTGTAGTTTAGTTAGTCATAACACTAACAGCAGGCTTTTTACGATTTGAGTTCCTGCTGGTGTAATGTACCTAAGTGTCTTTAAAATGTCAAATTCTAAAGACTAGTATTTAGTACCGTGCATACACATAGTAGTAAAAAAAGTATTTGATAGACCAAAGCTGATCTATGGGTCTTCTCTAAATATAAATTTTTGCTATAATTTAAGTGTGGGAGAGCCATGCTTCGGCACGAATGGGCTGGCTCGACCGGAGTGATACCACGGCCTCACAGAAGACCGGCGTGAAACAACCACAGCGTTGTGTTTCACCGTGTGAGTGAGGTTACCGGAGGCCCAATCCTTCCCCGCCCCCAATCCCTCCTCAATCCCTAAAAGGTCGGAACGCACTCGTAACTCCTCCGTTGCGGGTGCCCATGGGCGGCGCTGATTGCTTACCATGAGGTAATCTGTGTGCTCGTTTGCCGACCAATTACATAAAAAAAAGACTCCACGCGCTTCAGAAGGATTGTTTGTTCGGGCCGCTAGTTTTATTATAAAGCTAAAGAATATGTTTGTTTCTTTGAACGAGCTAGTTTCGGGAGTAATTGGTTCAAATTGAACAATTATGTTTGCGTTGCTATTCCATTTATCGAGGAAGGCTGTGGGCTTAGTTTAGGCTATAACATCATATGGTACGGCCAATAAATAGCATTTGAACAGCAAGTTTTTATGCCAAGACGGCAAACGAGCAGGCGGATTAGCTGAGGAGTTAAGAGTACGTTGTCAACTTTTTGGCGATTAGGGATTTGGAGATTTTAGGATTGGGGAGGAATTGGGGGAGGGAAAGGTTTGGACCTCTGGTAAGCTCACTCACACAGTGATACACAATACTTTGTTTATTTCACGCCGGTTTTCTGTGAGGCAGTGTCTCGTGTATCACTCCGATCGAGCCGATCCATTTGTACCGAAGCATGAGTCTCCCAAACTTAAAGGTGAAACATATATAAACTACTTACAGGTATTTTATAATGGCTATAAAACACTGAAGCTCAAGAAGTTAATAACAATTAACAATGATAATTAATGAGACTCATAATGTACATGCATACATATATAATGATGTGTATGATAGTGTATAATTGTTCTGTTATCTGGATCGAAATCAATCATAATGACAGTTTCCGTTTCAAGACACTGAATAATAAAATTCTCAATGAAAACTTGAAATAGTGTTGTACATATAAGTATAGAGAATCTAATCCATTACTTAATAAAAAAAGTCATTTATCGAAGATCGCACAGGATCGCCCATTTCGCAAAAAAGTAAATGTTTTAAAATTAAAAATTTATTACTGAATCGTAATTATTTTTGACAGGGATTAAACTTAGGATCTGTTGTCCTAGGTCAACTTTAAATATATATGTATGTAAAGATTAAAGTAAATAATTGAATAAATCATTCAGTAAGTACTTAATAAACTCGTTAGAATTTAAATTGCTAATTCATTATCGAGAAGTCACGGAATGAGTGTCAAAGATCAATGACGTCATAAGGGTAAATAAATACCTTTGGCTGCTTTGTAGCCCTTTATATAGGACAGAGCATTTAGTTCTGTTAATTGACTTCCACCTTGAGTAGAGAGGGAGTGTCAGACTCTTACTGACTAAAAACCACTCCGTTCCTACTCCTACTCCAGGCTAAGGCCGCGGTACATTATTAAGCTTGACTCGCAACCCTGGTTGAGTAGCATATTTTATACTTATATAAATAACTAGCTACTCTAGCGCAGTTTCACCCGCTGCTCGGCTCCATTTGATCGTAGCGTGATGTTTTAGCCTATAGCATTCAGGAACATTGTAGCGGTTCCAAAGATTACCCCCTTACAGACTTACAAATTTTACCTCTTTATAATATTAGTATAGATTACGTAACTTCTTAATACTTTAATGCGTCACTAGTGCCAATTGATGAGGAATAATTGAGATAATTTGTATTTTTTTTTTTACATTAAATGGCATATAAAATAAAAGAATAATAAAACTGTCGTAACATTTTAATAGTTTTTCAGACGTGTGTTGTAACAATAACGCTGAATAATAAACATTTCTTCTTTCCGTATCTACAATCGGCCTTATTACAAAACAAGGTTTTACTTTAGTCTAGGACTAAACCATTGAGCCAGTTTTCGTATTTCGAATTGAAGGTAGATGACAATAAGATTGTGTCAGTCGGATGAGGGAACAACACGTGCTCAGGAAACTTCTCACAGATAGGCACTGAGAAGAAATAAAACAAGGAGTGGTATTGGTAGGTCTAGAGTCTTAGAACTTCGAGCTGATTTGTTGTGTATTGTACTATAGAGATACTCCTATATTATATTGTGGCGATTCACAAAGATTGACAACAATTTACAACAGATGGCGCAACTACTCCTGTGCAAGAGAAGTTTGCGCGCTAATAAACACGGATAGAAAATCCTAACGTACAACTGTTGGACAGTAGCCCACCAGGCACGGTCACCTCGCCTGGTCAGAGGATCCTCCTTATCCGATATTAGGGAACCTTAGTGTATGTACCCTACAATATCACTAAACAAATATAGGCTATAGGCTCTAGATATCATAGTATTCAATAAGTGGTAATCTATACATAAGGTACAAATTAGCGAGTTGATATGTTTACCAACATGCGATTAACTGAACATCCATCCGACGCGTATGTGCGTGCGAGGAAACGCACATACGCGTCGGGGGCACTGAATGTGTTAAACATTGTGAATGGAAAAATGAACCTTGTTTTTATTAGTATTACAGTCGGGTGCGAAACGTCGCACACGCACGCTGCTCATGAATAAGAGTCCCGCTATAACTTGAAACTAGTAGAGCTTTTCTCAATTAATGCACGTGAGTCGTTATTTTCAAAAGATCTTGTTGCTAATAGTTATATACAATCAATAGTCATAAATGACTAAACAACGCAACGTAAGTATCGAAGATTTATAGGAAATGTGTCGAGGAAATGCGCACGTGTTGTGCATATGATTATTTTAATGTCTGTATAATTTTCTAACTGCCTCGTAACATGCACAAGATCCTTCGCCTTTGCCTTTGTAAACTTAATGGGAATAGTAAATATATTTGGAGGTAGATACGTGTCGATAGCGGACAGTGACCCGTATAAACTTAGCGTCCTAATATATCGAATCAATAACTTAATTGGATATTATTCAGGCGTGTATAAATTATTAGCTTTCTCACTCATTTCAGCCCTTTTGTAAATAGAGAAACGATGGTGGTTGAACTTATATGTACATATTCAGTTCATTGTCAAGTCAAATATTGATACAAAAACAAAAGACAGAGAAAGAGCCCATATTCTTGAGTTTTACACCCGAAATTTGTATCTCATTTTTATCAAAAACCCTAAGGACAGTAAGCGAGAAGCGAGCAAACGGATTAACTGATGATAAGCAATCGACGCCGCCCATGGAGATATGCAACAATAGAGTAGTTGAAAGAACGTTGTCAGCCATTTAGGGGAATATCTGCAGTCAGTATATGCTGTAAGGGGTCTGCGGACAGCAAGCAAGAGTAATTCGTCTTCCGATCGGAACTAAACTCAAACGAATGGTGCGTCGCGTTCCGCACACAATTCAAAAAGTCATCACACCACCACAGATGAAGTCAACTGGACCCATTTTTAGCTGGGGTTTGTTGCTACAAACGCAATTTTGTGTCATGGCCCGGTTCTGACCAGGAGAAGGAACGGGATGTTTTTTGTCAGGGATATTAGACCTCCAATCCAAAGATTGGGTTTTTTATCGCCATTAGACAACTACTAGGCACAAGATTTCTTACAAACCTGTTTAATACGAAATGTAATCAGTGACGTGTGTCGACGGATTAAAAGATTTAAGAACCGCTACCTGTCGGTCAAAGTTTAGTTATTTAACTGCGAGTAAAAAATAAACCTGTTTCGTATTCTTGTTTATTGCGAAGTTTACCAAGAGACTATCAAATCCCAACAAAGTACCAATATAAATTGGCAAATGTTTCATATTTTTATGTAGCCAAGGTACGTTGGCGATATCCTATTCGATATTTTTTTAAATAAAGAAGCGAGTATATTTTTTTTATCTTACTAGTTTTATACGAAGCCAAATTGATGGTTTTAAATAAAGAATAAACGTTTTATTTTTTATGTGTACCTAGACCAAAAGTTACAGAACAAGCCATAGACAATATGGTTGTTTCAAGTGGAAGAAGTAAAAACTGATCGTAAACTCTACTAATACTAATATTGCAAGGAATAAATTTGGAAGTTTGTAATAATCTTTGGAACTACTTGCCGGATTTCCTTTATTCTTTTAGTGTGTAGGCTGTAAATTATACTTGATTTGCTTATTTTAGTCGAGTTATCGCTTTAAACGCTGCTTTTTTAAATCCCGGGATTCATTACTTTATTAAGTGTGCGAAACAGCGACCGAAAGCTAGTATATTAATATTTGGCGGTTTTATGTTCTTTATACACATGATCCTCCTTTTTTTGTTCCTCTACGGAGTAATTTGATTTTGGAACATTTTTGTAAACTGTATAGGTAAGTTTAGATAACTCGTATGATGTCATCTAAGAAGTCTAATCGATACCAAGTGAAGCCTTCGGAAGTGAACAAACAATGGCTCAGGTTGTAATTTGATTGGCGGTCCATGTTACATGTAAACAGCTCAGGGTCACTTAGATAAGTTAAACTTTATAACGGAACTTAATGACAGAGTATTACAAACGGGAATTCCTTATATGGACGAATTTTATTATAGCTTTGATTATAACTCTGTAGATGTATTTTTTTGTAGGACTCAGGTATATGTTTATATGGTCGCAGAAGTGATTCCGACGACATTCGAAATCTACAGTAGGTACCTATTTATTTATATTTGAATATTTAATGTTGTTGTTGTTTTTGTGTTTACACATCACACTTCGACGAGGGAAAAACAATTTTAGAGTAGGTAGCTGTAGTTATGGATCTACGGAAATTTGAAGACTCAATCCCTAAAGATCTGGCCACGACCTTGCAACCCCTTTAGTTTTGCAGGTGTGCCATTGGCGGCGCCGATTTGCTTACCATCAGGTATTACGCCAGTACATTTGCCGTTTCACATAAAAAACTCCTCTCCGATCTCATGAATATAACTCTTCATAACAAAGCTGACATCTGAAGGACTATCATAATTATTGAATTAAACTAATTTCTGTATCGAGGTTTTCATTATCAATTGTTATTCTTTCAGTAGGTTATTTTTTTATTAGGAAAAATCATCCATTTACTTTTCTGGCTCTGGGTGAAGCGAGAGGGTTGTCTGACTCTTACTGACTAAAAACCACCCCGTACCTTCTCCTGCCGGCCTGGAGCCGGGGCCGCGGTACCGTATTGCGCTTGCCCCGCAACCCCGGCTGAACCCTATATAGGCCCTATAGGGCCTCGTCTGTGTGTGTTCTATTGGCTGTTGGCATCCTATAATAGTAAAACTATAGTGAAATATAATAAATTTATCCGCGCATTCACCTCACGAAAATTAGTCCCTACTACTTCATGACTTGAAAACTTAGCTGTTATTTAAAAAAATATCTAGTTATAGAATAGGTACAATCATTTAAGAATTGACTCAACTAATAAGAAGTGTTTTTGTTATGGTCGTTTCTTTCTACATCCTTGTACTCTCTTAAGTCAAGCTTTTTTACCTAAAAGTTTTAATATAAAACGTTTTCTTATAAAAGTAAATATTTCAAACGATTTCTACATCCGCATAATTATCTAGAATTCTAGACTAATCTACAGGATCAATGTAATTAGCTGAAGTTCAAGAACAATGTTATTAAAATCTTACTTATCTGTGGTTTGCGCTCCTATACAGACCTTTTTTGAAAAGTTCTTTTTATTCAAACTTGTCTGCGTCATTGTTTATTTTTTAGCAATTAGCAACTTTATCTATTTTGTAATTAAGTTGAGAATTAGTTAATTAGGTAGGTATGTCTTGCATTTCCATAGTTTGTTTTGCTACATTGTAATAAACCTAACCTATTACTTTTATTATTGTCTTAGGTAATGCTGTGTTCTAGGTATTCTATCTATATCATAAATTATAATGATAAGTGACAGATAAATAATGTATTTGTCAAGAATTAATTAATGTAATACTTAGATTCAACACCAGTTTGTGTTCAATAGTATTACTCATATTGTGAGGAAAATAATTATAATAATATAAGTTTCATAATGACGCGTGTAATTGTGGCGAATTTTTAAAGAAAACTTACATACTTTGTTATGCATAATAATGTCTGGTTACTACCACTAATGTTTTTAAACTGCAGAAAATGAATGAATTACATGCCCCTGGCATTGGATGGGTTGTTTTTTGCGTTCTGTTCGCAAACTCTACACGTAAATACTTGTTAAAAACATCCATATAAACTGGATATTGACAATAAAATAAATATTCAATGGATTTAACTAGAACATAAGTATTCAAGACAGCTGTTGCTGTCATAATACAACTGAAACAAAAGGTATAATATACAGACATTAATAACAACTTACCGTTCGGTGCATCAGAGAAATAGTTGGATAAGTTCATAGCGATCGCATGTCGCATGTGTGGCAGTCACCTGTGTTCCTTGACCTTCCAGAAACGTAGCACAAGTTCACCGCTGCTATGATCGATACATCGATAGTCGATACCGGACACAACACTCGATACTGTCAAACTAACCCGATATACAACTCACTCGCGTGCAAATCAAGGAAAGCGTTTTGTAAACAGTGTTCTTTTTCAAAACTTGTCCGCTGTCGGTCGGTCGGAGCGAATCGAATTCATTATCGATGCTATCGGCAGTATTTTGTTTTTATTTTTTTCTCGATTTTACGATGTTGTATAACGCGCGGGTGGAGCGTGCGTGCGTGCTGCCGCGACGATGCAGCCGATCGCAATAAAGCAAGTGGATTGGATTCTAGCGGCACTGCCGAAGAAAAGCACGCAGACTGCCATGTGGAGCCGACTCTCACGCGATTAATATCGTTTAAACGCCGTCGCATTCACGCAGAAAAACTGATTGGTAACAATAGAACAATAATTGACTTTATTTAAACGTCTTGGATTCAGATGTACTTATGCTAACAGGTGCTAGTTATTCTTTCGACTTCGCATAACTTATATTTTGACTCATCTTTTACGAATTTTTTCAAACAGTTTTCCTATTATCAGTGTGGATAATTAGTGTCCGCATTGAAAAAGAAGTCACGTTTCGTTGGGACTTTCCTGTTTCTATAATCATTGCCTGATCACCTTCGGAGAAACGAAAATGTTATTTAGATCTAATCTCAACGGTTACAAAGGCGCTCCTATCAATTAAATTAAGCAAAAAGGTTTTATAACTATTGTAGTACTTACGTACTAAGTTGTTGGTGGGTGATTCTCTGAAAACTTTAACATTTATTTAATTTATATTTAATTGTTATTATATTTTGTATTCATTAGTAAGTTATTACCTTCAATGTTTTTGTTGGCCTATTGATATCGGGGTTTGGAATGCTTTAGATCAGTAATACTAACTTGGGTTCTTTTTTAATTCATTAGGTAGTTGTGTGTCAATGTTAAAGCATAGAGAATCTCCCTGGTATGAATATACTCAGTATATTTGTATGCAAATATTTATTACGTGTTTAAACAGTTGTCGCTTGAAAACTTGACTCACCTCCAGCCAGTATCACTGCCAATCAATACAGTTATAAAACCTCACGGCTTTTAACTGGAAAAATATGTTCCACATACTTCAGTCGTGACAAACGGTTAAAACAGAGCTGTAAATAAATAATGCACACGTAATTTTGTTCTTTCAGAATGTGGGTGAACAAATGACAATCGTATTTATATCAACTTTAAGTCTTAGGGCCTAGTGCGTGGACGTAGTGTTTCTCGCGCGCCTCAAAGCCCCAATTGACTCTTGGGCCATAAATGGGGCCCAATACGGCCGATGCTTAGCCAGGGTCGCGGGTCTGAAGCAGGAGAAGGAAAGGGTCTATTTTTAGTCAGTCAGAGTCTGATACTCTTAGCCATACCCTGGGCGAGAGTTATTTGATGATTTTGCCCTCCACACAAAATTGGCCTACAAATTATGTGCTTTATACAAATTTGTCTGGCACAGAGTAGCTAATCTGATATGTAAATATTTTGGTTGGATTGGAAATGAAGTTGGATGAGAAAAGCTGAACATCGAGTTCAGGGGCATGCCATTGGGGAGACCTATTTCCGGTAGTGGATGGAATCAGGCTGTTGATGATGAAAGTCTTTACCAAACACCGGTTGAGATATTTAAAGCCCCACTAGGCTAGTGGGTACTGGAGTCATATAACACTATGTTTAACGTTTCAATGGTGATAATTTAAGACACAATAGAAATGTGGGAGAGTCCCGCTTCGGCATGAATGGGCTGGCTCGACCGGAGCGATACTACGGCCTCGCAGAAAACCGGCGTGAAACAGCATTTACGTTGTGTTTCGCCGTGTGAGTGAGGTTACCAGAGACCCAATCATTCCCTCCATCTTCAACACTCATTCTTAAATCCCTGATAACCCATAAGGGGTCGGCAGCGCACTTGTAGTAACTTCATTGGTATTGCAAGTATCCATGGGCGGCGCTGATTGCTTAACACCAGGTAATCCGTCTGCTCGTTGGCAGACTTATGGCATAAAAAATAAAAATAGTTGTGCGAACGCCCGCGTTCGATTGGGGTTTGATTAATGAATAGATAAATCTAACGCTGTCATACTCAATAGGTGTGCTGCAAAACATTTTAACCATCAAACGTGTTATAGAATAAAAAAAGAAATTCACAAGATCACCGCACATTAGCGACTTACACACGCCCACGGAGGTCAATGACATAGTATATATATGTATAGGTATACTGTATGTATACATATAGGAATGTATTTTGTTTCTTTTTCAATTTATGGTTTAGTAAATGTTGTCTTTTTACATACTTTTTGTTAAATGACACGGTTATTAAATTAGTGAGATAATTATATATTAGATATAAGATAATAATAAGATAAATAATGCTGAATAAAAAAAAATAAAAAAATATAAAAATTATAAATAAAAAAAACAAAATCTTTTAAAAATTCTTTACTTGCTCATAACAAAGATAGACTAGTGGTAGAAGTGTTTATGTTGTTGCCGCGGCCCGGTTCAGAACTGGAGAAGGAACGTGGTAGTTTTTAGTCAGTATCAGTCAGAGGGAGTGTCTACTCTCTCTCGCCCCACCAAAGCCGGAGAAATCATGGGATAATTTCCTCCCCTCAAAAGAAAGGTAGGTATGCTATAAATTCTCGCAATGAAATATTATATTTACAATTAAATAACGTAATAAAAAGTTGAAAAATCATAATAGTAGGTTAATTACTGTAACTAAATAATAATAATAATAACTCTTAATTTATTACGTTAACGTAATAAAATAATATAACTTATACAATAACAATAACAAAAAAAAAACGCGGCTATTATCGCTAGACTGATAAAGGTCAAATATTTGCACCTTGGTCTATTTTATAAAAAAAAAAAACACTGAATATTAACACCATGGAGGATCCACGTGGACTGTGAAAGGTTGTTAGCACTTAGCTACAGCAAAAAACTGTACTTTTGCCATAAATACATAAATAGAAGAAACTTTTAATTGTTTGTTTGTTTGTTTATATTAAATACGCTCCGAAACTACTGGACCGTTTTGAAAGTTCCGGTCACAATTGAAAAACTATAAATTAAAAAAATTTAAAAATACCTAATCCTAAAATGAGCACGAATAAACTAAGGCTATATTAGCTCTGTCTCCGTATGATACCCCGTTTATATTGAAATTACTAGAGCATTCCTCGAATAAAACGTTAAGAAGCCGTATTTGTATACTTCAATATCTATTCGGTCATATAAACTGTTGTGTCTTAAGCGAATATCACTACGAAATCCGGTAGCTACGGTGCAAGAGAGAGATTTTCTAAATTCCACGCGGGCAAACCCGCTGGCAGAAAGTTAGTGAATTATAACTCGTTCTTCATCACTTGACTTTTACACCCAAGTTGCTACAGCCAGCTGCCCGGTAAACATTCCTCTAAGTACTCACTCAATTAGCTTAACGATGTAGAAAATATTGAAGGCGATATACAAGTTTTATGCGATCTAGTTTCTTGTAAATGTGATGTATAATTGATCGAATGAACAATGAAATGTTAGTAACATCCAATGTTGGTATTGTGATAATAATGGTTTTTTTTTGCTAGGAGTAAAATTATCAAAGGATTTCGTCTGTCCAGGGTGAGGCGAGAGGGAGTGTCAGACTCTTACTGACTAAAAACACCCCCATTCCGTCTTCAGCTATAAGCTGCAGCCGCGGTGCCTTATTGCGCTTGCCCCGAAACCACGACTGAACATCAGCCGTAATAGGACCCCAGTCTGTGTTCTATTGGCTCTTTAAAACTTGAGACGCTCGGCTCTAGTTCTGGTCAGGCGGCGAGCTACTCATACTTGCCAACCGCAGACCCGCGCTTAAAGGTAAGGTCTCGACTTCCAACACTCAGCACTGACTCCGATCAGCAGGGTTATTCTGAAAATGGGAAATTCATCACGCAAATCACCTCCACGTCGCACTCATTTTGACGTTGGCTTGTGATTTTTGGTACTTATTCCCCATAAAAACAAAGTAAGCGAACTGAAGTATTTTTAGAAGCTAGTGAGATTATTTAAACGCGATTTAGCAAAATGCCCTTGGATAATTTAGGTTAAGAGACATAAAACATGTCGTGATCGATAATTATTTTTGTGATAACAATGAAGGTTTTGAACTCATTTTCCTAAAAAAAAGATGGCAAGATAATAATAATGAAAACTTTGACTTTAACGTTAAGTACACTAAAATGGGGTCGTTATCTTGGCGTACGTTTCCTATTTTTTCCTGATATACCTACACATCTACTATATATATTTTTTTTAACCATAACATAAATTAAATTAAATTTCTGGAAAGCGTAACTTAAATTGTACCTAATACTAGGTAATTTCTCCTCTGAAATATTCCGTTATTATCTTCAATGAGAACAACTAGATATTCGAAGTTCATTTACTTAGAGTAGTTTTTATCAATTATAAAACCCTATACTTAACTAATATATTGCTTTTGGGTTTAATATTTTTGCCACAACTCTTAAACCGCAGGTTGTAGATTCTTTAAACGATATTGTAGGCTCGCTTTTTTGCCAATAACAGATCGCTGTTTACGATAACATCTTACAAACATAACTTATTTAGGTATGTTTAAATCTTAAAGTTTTTTATACTGTATATTATAAGGTACTTGAGACTTCATCCGTAAACTGTTCGAGACGCTTTTGGTGATTAAGTCATTATTATTTGACTGTTTATTTTATCATTTGCATCGTGCTCGCTCGCTACTTAACTTTGAAATGTTATAAGTGGTTGTGTCAGAATTTTACTCATCTAAAGTCAAAAGTCTAAAATCATTTATTCCAATTAGACCCTTACAGGCACTTTTGAACGTCAAACAATATTTTGAAGATATAGTGTCAGTCTATCGGTCAGCCCTCTTAGTGATACAGGGCACTCACATTTACTTTATCAAGTTATAGTTATACAGTACTAGCGGCCCGCCCCCGCTTCGCACGGGTCCAACTATATCGCTTTTTACGGGTCACTTTTTGCTAAACTTCCCCTCTACTTTTCTAATATTTTCTTTCATGAAAACCTTCTCCTGACCATAACAAACACAACAAAAAAGAATTAGCAAAATTGGTCCAGGCGTTGTTGAGTTATGCGCTTACAACACATTTTGGGATCCATTTTTATATATAAGATAATGCAATTCCACTAAAATGGAGAAGTCCCGTTCAAGCAAAATCCACTGGAATATTATTTATTTTGGTGTAGGTTTGCTATCCTGTGGAGCAGCACCAGCATGTCTGTAAGCATCTTTATCTACAATATAATCA